TGACGTTTGGAGATGAGTTCAACCAGCGCCTGGAGGGCACCCAGTTACCAATCAGTCTGCGAAGTTTCACTCACAGGAGTTTGCATGTAGCCACTTGGTGAGCAGTGATGTCCTGGTGTGGCTTCCGCTGCAAGGGCAATTGCTCGCAGCCTCTTCTGGGGCATGGTTTGGTTTTTCTGAATGTCCTACAGCAGCTCTTCCTCATTGCCAGGGCAACTGGTATCGATGTCGTCACTCGTTCCTGACTTCGTTGGACGCCGACCCCAGCCTGACTGTCCAGAGGGTTTGAACAAGAAGGAAGCACAATCCGCCCACAAACTTGCTGCTTGATGTTTGCTGCTCACCTACGTGTTGTTCAGCAACGAGTACATCGTGGACACGTGGGGGCATCGAGTGCTGAAGTGCCTCTTGGCCAAGGAAACGGCGATGACAGCTGCACTCGTGCCGGCCATGACGCATGTGGACACCGTGTCGGAAACACAGATGGCGGAGATGGCTGAGAACATCCTGGTCAACCCGGACACGGGGGAGTTGGTCATGCAGCACACAGAGGGTCAGGGTTCTGATGGAGAAGCTCAGAGGGGCACGAAACGTGGTCGTGAGAGTGGACCGGAGGGTTCAGTCGAGTCGTGATGCTGATGGGGGTCCCCGGAAGCCGTCGTGCGAGCGATCGAAGAGCCATGTGAGACGGGAATGGTCGAAGGGATGTGGTTCTGCCTGCCCCATGTGGGCTCTCTGACTCGAACATGCAGTCGGAAAAAGGTGTCAAAAAAAAAACCGTGTAGTGGGTGGGGAAAAACCGGTTTGGCATGCGAGGAGAAGACCTACTCTTCGCGCCAGCGCCAGCAGCAGCCGCGCTTCTTGGCAGATTCTCGTGGGAGTAAGAACAGCGCGCAGAAAAAGCTCTCCGGGACAGTATCGGTGGGCAGTTCATTCGTTGTGCGTTGTTTTGGAAGATATCTGCCGGCAGGAGATACTTGGCAATCAACATGGGTTGTGAGAATTCTGCACCTCGTTAAAGTTTTGCCATCAGCTTAGCCCCTGTGGTCATGTTTGCGGAGTACGGAGGCCAAGCAACAACGCTTCCACAGCGGCGGCGTTCACAACCCCCGACAGAGCCTGGGTACCAGGCTCGTGCCGCACGTTTAGCAGGTCTCATAGCAAGCTGCAAGGAGCGCACAGTTACAAACGGGCACAATGCCCAGGTTGAACGAGTTATTCCGGCTCGGTCCGCGTAACCTAAAGCCTAAAACTGATCCGTGATGGCTTCCATCGAGAGGAGCTCCCATGCAAGATGATGCACAAAAATCATCACTCGTCAGTACCGGACCTTTCTCGGCTTGTCTCTCTCACACAGGGCTACAAGATCAACGACGAAGAGACTGAAAAGGCCAGCCACGGACTTGCAGGTCTCCCGGATCTCGGATTGTGATTGAGGAACCAGCGCTGGTCAGGCAACAGGCGGCAATGATGGTTTCAGGGCGAGGCCGACCCACCCTCAAGTTCTTCCACCCAAATCCTTCCCAGATGAACCATGCTTCAACTATCTGCAGTTGAGGGACCTGTCCTCATCCAGAACAACCCGTTTGGTAGGCCAAGCCGGTTGTTGTCTTGACCTCCGACAAGGGCATCACCAAGGTCGAGACAGCACACTGCTGCAACAAGGGGTCAGGAAGAATTCGCACAGTATATTGCCATCGGACATTCCGGCGGAGCCTTCCGCTGGTGCATGTTCGCCAAGTTTGCGGTGTTTTGGTTTCGGATGTAACTACTGGCTTGGGAAGACTGGGCCTGATCAGATGGTCGCAGCTACCCGTAACGACCCTCCAGTATTTCCAGATGCCCAGCATGCCTCTCATGCCTCTGTTGTGGGCACTTTGGCGGGTGCGAGCTAAAGCCAGAAACCCTGGCCATCGAAGCTCTCCTGATGGAGGCAGAGGCTCCTGAAACACGGGCTTTGCCTCTTCTTTCGCCAGCTTTTAAAGCCCTTAGCTGTTCGCTTTCTTCACATCTCCACTTAGGACTACTCAGACCTGGCTCACCAAGCGAGCGGCTTCAGGGCGGCTTGGACGCCTTCCCAGGTTCAGGGATCAGCTGCCAGGTCTCTGCGGCATGTGAGCCTATAAATACACACACACAGTGCACTGTAAAGTATGGTACGGTATGGTATGGTGTGGTATGTATGGATGTATGTCGTGCGCGCGACCTAAGGGCCTAGCTGGCCTAGCTCCGGCGACTTAAGCGATGAGCCGCAGCATTCAGTAAGTGTTCATAGCGGTGCAGGGCTTCCTCTTCTTGGGTCAGGTTTGTTAGGAGATATTCTTTGCGTGATACTTCCACCGCACGGTCTGCACGCCTCGCATTGACAAGCGCTGCTGTCCTTCGAGGCACGCAGCCTGCTTCCCACGCTCTCCGAGCGGCCTCCCCCGACCACAGAGGCAAGCCTTGCCCATGGTGCTCGGGAACTTTTAGTCTGACATGTCTGCCGTTAGCCAGAGTCTTACAGTAGCCGCTGTAGTCATCTGGTTGTGCAGCTGGCTGTCAGAGTTCCGCCCGATGTCTTCAGATATGCCCCATCAGCAATTTCACGTGATCGGTCGAGTCTTCCCTGCATCACAGGGGTCTTATGAGAAGAGCCATGCATTGGCATTTAGATCACGACGATCCACATGCTTCAATAGTGAGTTGCCGGGTCCGATTGCCAAATCCTCACCGCGAGTTTGAATCCCCAAACCCATCAAACCCCTTGAAGCCTTTCTATATGTTTAGTGATTCTCTTCTTAGATCATACTACAAGTGGTAGTGTACCAACTTAAGTATATGGGGGTCTCCAAAAATAGGGGACCCTAACATAGTGCCCTAGATAGCAGGATCCTTATTATAAGGACCCCCCAAATAGGGTACCCCTTACTTTCGGAAAGTCCCATATAAGCTTTAAGCGTCATTACGCCGCCAGGGCTACCAGAGCAGCGCTCCCGGCCGCGAAGCGCCCAGGCCCTGGGAGCCGACCCCCGGAGGCAAAGTCATGAACTAAACCTAAGAGCCCAGGGTTTAGGGTTTAGGGTTTAGGGTATAGGGTTTAGGGTTTAGGGTTTAGGGTATAGGGTTTAGGGTTTAGGGTCAGAGTCTGCATACTCTGTTACACCGACTTCCGACTATGGATCCTCGCCTGGCATGTCCCAGTTCTGAGAACCTCAGAGCCCCTCACAAAGCGGTTCCTCTGAGGCTCCCCTTACAAGGGGTTCCTCTAAGGCTCCCTTATGTTAAGGGGGCGTGCTATATGTTCTTATGAGGGAAAATGAGAGGACTACGAGCGGGTATTATGGTAGAAGAGGGGGCTTCTAGAAGGGTTGTGAGGGTTGAGGGTTACTGTAGGGGTTTCAGTAGTATCGGTACTAGGGTAAGGGTCTACCACGATCGCAACTACTGTTTCTACTTCTGCGAGCAGTGACGACCATCATTACCACTACAATGACCTTCTTCTTCCATGTTCAGAACAACTACAAGTACTGCGACTGCTGCTACTACTTGTAGTGCAGCAGCATTAACCAACAACAGCTACGAGCGACCTCCTGACGTCGGTTGGATATCCCCGGTCTCGATTCGAGATCGTCAGAGCGAGATCGCCTGCCGGATGCGATGAGTGTTGGATGTACGACATGTACTTCTATTTTTAATCCGCGGCCGGATGTGAATGAACTCTCCGCTCATGGCTTGAAGCGCTCAGGAAGATGGATGTGGATGGGAAGACACAAGTTCCAGCCGCATGGCATGCTTTGAGAGATCTTGAGAGTGTTCCCGGGGCGCATGCTGCAGGGTTGCGCTGTTGTCGCATTCCTGCTGAGGGTGCTCCTGAGGGATACTCGTCGTAATCGTTGGCAGCTCTTTCTGCCATGATGGGATGTTGGGTACAGCGGTGTCCGTTGCCGTGTCATGTCATGTCAAGAGCCCTGGCTGCCCACGCCATGAATTGATGTTTCACCAGCGGCCTAACACGTAAAACTCGAACCGGATTGAAACTGGGCTAGGCTGCGAGAGCGCGGCAAGATACCCGAAGACACTGAAGATCAAGACTGCGTACTTGTGTGACCTCCGACAGCCTCGAACGCCAGGAGAGCGTGTTCAAGGCGCCCGGGCAACATTGGATGTGCTGATGACATACCAGATGGAGTAAGGCAGGCATTACTTTTCAGATGGCTACACAGCAAAAAGGGCCGCAAATCTGCGCTCTGCCGGAAGCCTTTTGGCTTGCAGCTTCTGTATGTCGCAGGCGTTGGAGGATGCATCCCTATCTTTGGAGTAAGCCTGGAGCTGGAAAGGTAGATAGTATCAAAGATTGTATAGACTGGTAGGTAACTGTTAAACGGCCTCATATATAGTGTGGAAGGAAGTGGGACGTCCTCTGTGTGTGTGTGTGCGCACACACACTCACGCACAAGTAAGCTGTGACGATGTACGTGGATGCCTGCCCGACTCCCATGCCACAGAAGCCAACCTGCCAGCAAGCATTTGCCTGGCGAAGTCTTCTCCAGCCCAACAGCATCTCATCGATTGTAACGCACAGCTACTCACGGTATTGCAGCACTAGCTGTGCGATGGTCTCTCGCACGCGGAGCATAATGTACAGAAGCCATATACACTGAAGTGTGCCCTGGCTTTGCAAACCCCTCATGTGGAGCCAGTCTCGAGATGCGTGCAGAGGGCGCGCTGCTCCTGCTGACTGTGAGCCTGCCACTGGCATTCGTGCCGGAGGCCAGAGGGTTGCCTGGTCCCGTAGAATGCGGACACCGCCTCACTAAAGTTAAGATGTAGGACAATGTAAGCGTGTTTGCTCGAGCTTCTGTGCAGGTGTTTCTCCCTCGACATGCACGCTCGCGGGTTGGGCCAAGGTGGTCACAAGGAGGCGGCCACAGCTCTGAGCAATCCTTGGGACTGTTCGGGAAGTAGGATGTGCATTCTATCAACAACAGAGAGACACAGCAGTGTTACCATGAAGCCGTGTTCTTGGAATGCACGCCAGAAATGGCACAATATGGCGCATACATGAAGTTCACAGACTAGGCACTGCTGCTTCGAGGAGCACGCCTCGAGATTGAGCCCTTGGAGTTGTGGCTCTTCGAGAATGGAGCACGCGCAGCTTGGGGGCAAGAACAGGCCCGTTGGTGGCCCCCTCAACAATCAATCAGTCCCCGAGCTCTTTCACCACTTGGCACGGGCCGGGGGTTCTCAAGGGACACTTGGCAGCTCAGGTCAGTTCCAAAGCGACTCGGCAGATTTTTCAGAAGTAACTGGGGGGAGTCCTGAAATCAGGCTTTGTGAGCTCGTTGCTTGCCAAGGCCAGCGTTGGACCCGGGAGTGAGGGACGGGGCGTGTGGGCGAGACAGACGATAGCAGCAGGTGCCCTGCTAACGTCTGAACCTTGCTGTCGAGTTACGGTCGCACTCCCGACGGAGATTTGCAGGCGAGGAGATCGCACGTGTTCCGATCAAGCTCGTCCTTTCGAAGGACGGACCGGAGTTGTGTTTAGAGACTTGCCACTGCCATGACCATGCTGATACAACATGGCGTCTGCATGTCGGAACGGTGAACGCCTACATTGTGGCAGAGGTAGCCTCTCAGGCCTTGATTCCTCAAGCAGACCGGTTTCCTCAGCGAATTTCAGACCGGAGGCTGGAGAAAAACCGACAGTCATAATTATATATATATATACACACACACACATGCAACGCCCACCATCAATACGGCAGGCATAATGGAACACGTGAACGTTTCAGGAATTCCAATAATTCCATGGCTTCTCCTCCCAGGACACACGCTTTGATCGAACAAAGGTCAGAACACGGAAACTCGCATGCGAAGTCGAGCCGTGTTCGCTGGCGGTGAGCGCTCTTTGCCGAGGAGACTGCCGCCAGCGCACTGGGTTCCGATATCATCTCCGAGGACTCTTCCGGGAAATAAGTGCGCCAGAAATAGTATTGGTAATTATTGAAGCCACTACATGATGCTCTTCGAAAGGGTTCAGGTTTGAGCTCCAAAGCTGCCCTAAACCCTAAACTCTAAAACCTAAACCTGGCACGGAACAAGTCCGAGTGTAGCTATAGCCTCCGTTGTAGTTCCTTTTGGGGGTTACCTTATAGGATCCTTAATATAGAGTTGGTCAAACCAAAAGAAAGGAACTACAATGGAGACTATAGGTAGCCTGCTCGCCAGCCGACTCTAGACTGCCTAAAAAATGCCTGAAAAGAGATGAGAGTTTCCGAAAAAAAGGGGTACCTTGTTTTGGGATCCTTATAATAGGGATCCTACTATTTAGGGTACTATATTAGGGTCCCCTATTTTCGGAAACCCCCATATGTGTGGATACATTACCTTGTGAGGACATGGGCGAGTACACTGCCATTGCGTTGCAACTGATTCATGAGCGATACGTGCTCTGGCATCTTACAGTCGACACCAATATATTATTTTATTTGTATTTTTCTTATTATGATTATTGCGTGTAGCAGCATTAGTCATATTATTATTATTATTATTATTATTGTTATTCAGCTTTAGACCCACCATGATCCGCCATGGATCAGTAAAGCCGTCTGACAGTTTCTCCTCTGCACTCCGAGGTGCTTCAAGATGCATCCTTCTGGCAGCCCTACCTGGATCTGCTGCCGGACACGGCGGAGATTGGTTCCTCTTTCACTTGGTCCGAGGAAGATCTGCAGCTACTCTCGGGCAGCCTAATTCAGAACATCTCCAGCTTCTTGCGGGAGAAGATCCAAGATGAGTACCGCAGCCTCTGTGAGACCACCCTGGCCAAAGATCCTGCCAGCTTCCCTCTTGATGTCTTCACGCTGCCACGGTACATTTGGGCGTATGCCGTGCTTCTGAGCCGGTCCTTCCGATTGCGCTTCGACCGGAAAGGGGAGAAAATTGCATTGGCAACTTGAAAGAAGCAGCTAGAAACGGGTTTTCCAGCTCTTTGAACTTGTATGTTGCAGGCTGCTGCACTTTGTTCGTGACCGACCTGAGGTACCTTTCGTCGATTTCATCAACCACGACCCGGAGTCGCAAGCATACGTAGCTGGCGTTACGGACTGCACGGGTTGATGGTCTATCATGCTCCATGAGGGCAGGTCCGAAGCCGAAGCTTGAGGCAGTCCAACTTCCTGTGTCACATGTTTCGGAGTCTTTTCAACTAAGAAGATACGAGATCTGAGAGCAACCGGCAATTCTGCCAAGCAATTGGGAGACCCCATTCGCCAAGAGCAGCGGCAAGACTGGCCGTCCCCGTAAGGAACAAGCAGCATGAATATGAGTGACAGCAGTACTGGCCGCACACATAATAACCAGTGCTCCGGGTTATGCAGCGGCAGCAAAACAGTCAGAAGAGCGGCAAGCAGCGGCAGCAGTAATTCAGTAATAACGCCGGTGGTAGTAGCAGGCGCTAGCAGGCAGTGCTACTTCTAGGAACTGCTAGTACGGTTACGACGTGGTCGTAGCATCTGTCGTGGTAGTAGTCGCACAAGTACAAGCGGCAGTAGTAGTAGTAGTAGTAGTAGCAGCAGCAGCAGCAGCAGTGGTAGTAGTAGTAGCAGTAGGAGCAGTAGTAATAGCAGTAGGAATAGTAGGAGGAGTAGTAGTAGTAGTAGTAGCAGCAGCAGCAGCAGTAGGACTAGCAGGAGTAGTAGGACTAGTAGGACGAGAAGGACTAGCAGTACCAGTAGGAGTAGTATTAGTAGCAGCAGTAGGACCATTAGGAGCCATGGCAGCAGCAGCAGTTATTGTCGTAGTGGTAGCGGTGACCGTTTTCGTCTCCTACACTTGCTGCTGCTGCAATCCGGTGAAGTACTGCAGCAGCTGCAGCAGAAGAATTTGTAGGTCAACAGGAACTCAAGCAAAATCGCCGCTGATATAAACTAGACAACACCCATCAGCACCAACATGACAAGAAAAAGCAGTTTGCCATCCCAAGGATTTACATTCAAGAGGCAGCCACTGTAATACGATTGTTTGCCATTCAATTTACAAGTACAGCATACTTACTTAAAGGATCATGGGACTTAGTAAGTTAGGTTATAACATTGTTATAACTAAGGTAACTATACTTAACCCCAATTAGGGGACACTTAACCTTACTTACTAAGTCCCATGATCCTCCAAGTACCCTGCAGGAGGAAGCCGGCCGCTATGTGATGCTCAAGACAGATCGGAAGTACGGCCCGAAAGAACAGGCAAGCTATCTGGAACGTGTATCGAGTGGTATGTATAGTGTATGTCGACAGTACGAGTATGTAGTTACTTTACGTAGATGCATGTCATGTGTTCTTATGCTGGCAATGGTGGCAATATCCATGTAGTTACTACTTGTATATGTATGCATATTATACACACATATGACTATCTCCCTCTTTCTCTCTCTGCTTCTCATTCTCTCTTTTGATGTAATTGGGTTGCAGGATGTGCGCACGCGCAGTTTGTTGCTCTTTGGGAGAGTTGGCGTAGTTCCCTCGCAGCTTCGACCATATACCCTAGTACAATAAAACGGGGAACATGCTTATGTTGCTACATAATACAGAAGCATTTTGTTGGATAATCTAGTTTGCGTATGTAGAAATATGATCTACTATAACACTGCGCCGTGTATAGTATAATGCATATTACAAACCTATATATATATATATATACATGTGTATATACATATATATATATACACGTGTGTTTATGCTAGCCCCCATCCGAAGAACTACCGCGAGGTGCCGCGATAGCGCCACCAATCCTCCTACGTTTAAGTTTAGGCTTCTGGTGTATGATCCAGGTTTCACGATAGGTTTCGAAGTTGCGTGGGGATAGCATATGTAGATCGGCAGCCGCCTTCAATCTCAATTCTTGCGACCCTTCACGCAGATACTGAACATATGTATGATAGATATTACAACACACCATAGCATAGCTTAAGATAATATAACATAGCTCAAGATAGTGCAAAGTAGTACTGCGTAAGCATAACCTGACAAGTTCATGTAGCAAATAATACAATGTTCTGTTATGGAGCGGTTCATTGTATTGCAGCTTACTGCACCATACTAAATTGTATGTAGTGTATTACATTGTAGGAAATACTTTTGCACCATACTGCCTCGTGCTGCATGTTTACTGTACTGCGCTATATTGTATTGTGGGGGAAATAACAAGTCTAGGGGACTTTTCTGTCTAGCTTTTCCGCATCCGTTCCTTGCAAACAATGGAGGTCTTCGATTCTTACGGGCGAAGGTCGAACGATGAGCTGCTGTTGCTGTACGGCTCCTTGGCTCAATCGGGGGGACGTTGCCATGGGCCCAGATGAACAAAATCCATGAAGCACTTCCTCGATTTCACAGGTACTTATCCGACACGTTTCTACCCTTTTGCAAGTGCCAGACAGACATGTTACGTTAATATGGAGGCAAGTGGGAGCTGGCTCATTGCTGTCACTTTGCTTCCTGCGTGTGTCTTGGAATTGTCGAGGCTTCTCCCTGGAGACAAACGCTGCTCTGCCAGAAGATTGAGCTTTTTTCTGGCCGGACACTGTTTGAATTTCCTTTTTGCAGTGTTTGCGAGCCCTCCCTCTAGAAAGCAAGATGAAAGGTCCACAACTACGTGGAGATCCCGCTGACAGAGCTGTGGGAATGCACGGAGCTGGCAGAGCCAAAGCGGTCCTGGCTTGCCGTGAATGGAGCCCTGGCAGATGGCTGTGCTTTCTATCGTTCTAGGACCTCTAAAGGATAGTCGGGAGGAGTTTTCCAAGGTCGATACTTTGGGATTGGGTCAATACTCGATGCTCCCCCCCTGCAGAGCTAGGCATCGACCAAGATGAGATGCAGAGCATTTTTCTCTATCGCGGGCGATGGCCGAAGGAAATGATGCTCCCAAGTTTGCAACAGGTTTGAGGTTTTATGTGATTCGGATCTTGACTGAGCTCAGCACCCGGACTCGGCTCGGTGCCAGACTGCGCGAAGCAAACTCAGGCTCCTGCTGCGGCTCCTGGTGCTCACCACGGAGGAGATTGGTGTTCGCCGCGAGTATGCAGTGGCTCAGCTGTTCAGCTTTCTTTCTGTGGCTGCAGTTGGAGTGGTTTCGAAGATGCAATGCTACATAAGAGAGTCCGCACATGTGTCGTTCTACACAACATGGCCATGGCATGTCCAGGTGCACAAGACGCTCAAACAGATGGACCTTGCAACTCCGGTGGCGCCGGACGTGGAGGAGCGCGCGCTCGAAGCGCTGAGGAGGCTCATTGGCGAGGTGGCATGGCGGAGCGAAGGCTCCAAAGCTGGCAAGGCTGTGTGGCATGAAACAAGGGAAGACGAGAAGCGCAGCACACCATTTCCAGCGCTTTTCCTTTATTTGCACGTTGCCTTGCCTACAAACCTTTCGGACTTGCGACTAGTGAATGAATGAGGTTCTCTCGAAGTGCCCAGCGCACCTGCGGGAGAGGGACGCGAAGCTACTACGAGATCGATTGGCGTTTGAAGCCCTTTCGAGGAAAGAGCAGCGCCTGGAGTCTGAATGGTGTTTGGCAGTCTCTTCAACGAGTCGACTCTGCCTTGACAAACCGGCAATCTGTACTTACGATTTGCACTCATTCAGGTCCATAATCCCTTGCAAGGTATGCTGCCAGTGCGCGGCACGGGGAATTTGATGTGCTTGCAACTGGGCTGCCGAAGTGTAATCTACTGATGAGCTTCTGGATCGGGAAGATTGACCAACAACTGTACCGAACAAAGGTACTCGGCGAGTAGTAGTGCGCGTCCCCGTCATTGGTCACACTCTGCTGTGGGGCTGTGGATGTAGTCACCGCTTGCCCCATGCCACTGCAAGTACCAAGGAGACCAACAGACTTCGCGTGAAGAGACTGCTGCGCCACGTCCCCTTCGTGTTCCGGCGGAGGGATGCAAGGTCGAAGGGGTTGGAATTGTGGGATCAAGGGAGCGGCGGTCATCAAGTTCGGTTTCAAAAGGGAGCCTCACCCCCTCGATTTCAGAGATGCAGCGGCACGGATCCCAAAATTTATCCTTAGAGCCGGGCTTTCGGGGCTCAGAAAACGTGTGAATTCTGTGCGGCTATTTACTGCCTGCCTTCTATACAGTCTACACCGTAGTTCTACACAGCGTGCTCCCGCGAAGAAGAGTCGACGCTGCACTAATGATATCTAGACATCGAGCCGCGCGAGACTCGAATCATAGGATATAAAAGCCAGCCGTTCAACCGGTCGCTTCATCCAATCTCGCCATGACTCTCGGCCAGGAAGCAACAAGTCGTACCCGGCTTCTCTGCCGACTCAGTGCCGCAGGATTTCGATGTTTTCCTCAAGGAGTTTGAGATGGATTGATTAGGTTTCACAGCCTCTAGGATAAGAGCCGCGAGCGAGGGGACACTGGTTTCCTGGCCGGCCGTACGCGAATTTTCGGCTTGAGTGCCCCCAAACATGGCATCAGTTTGCTTGGCCTCGCAGAGAGCAGAAAAGGCTGCGAACATGGTTGCCAGATGTTGCCAGCAGTACGTTGTCCACTCGGATGTATCGCATGCCTGCGCATCTTCTGCGCATGTATCTCTGCCCGTCTCGCTCTAGCTCTCACACGTAAACACAAACCAAAAAATCACTGTGAAACCTGTTGTCGGCAAGGCCATGGAGAAGCTGGGCCATGCTGCAAGGCACCGGGGGCAGCACGTCCTGGCGAAGAGCACTCGTCACCGTGGTCGTGCCTGGGCGGCAAAGGAAGAAATTTCATGGGTACCAGGCGTTGTTGCATACGAACCTTCAGCAAAAAGGGTCTCGACACGACGTCTTTGGCAAAGTCAAGATAAGAATAGACGGGACTGGGCTTGGGCAGAGTTCCCTCTGCCTGCCAAAGGCAGCTTCACAGCAGGATCTTATCAATGCATTTCCGGACCGAATTTGAGGCAAGACGCTGATTCGGCACGATTGTCTCCCTGGGCGCACCAACTCGTGCCTCAACGCAAGCAGTTAAGCATGTACCAGTAGTGGCCGTGAATTGCCCGCTGTTTGACTTTTATCCTTGGCCGTACGCTTTTGCTTTGGTGTTCAGAAATCAGGAAACACTGCATGAAAATTAATTATACGTGCTTGTCAAGCACTTTATTCCTGATTCTGCCGACTTGGTGCAATTCAATGTCACGTGCCCTCCTGATGCCCCTTATCGCATTGCCGGCTTACGTGGGCCCGTAAGTTCAGCTTGGAAACCCAAGCCCTGAGCAAGCAACTTTTGCATGGTGGCCAGGACGGAGTATCTCAATGCCGCCTCAGGCACGGCACATGGTACTCGTGTCGCATTGCTCGCATCTGTAAAGTGTAAAGCTCTTGCCACGGTTTGACTCGAAGCCACAAGACTCGTTCGGAAAGATCAGGACGCAGACTCCACAGAGCCGTTGCAGAAATGGTCGGGGTCGGGTGGTAAGGGAACTGCCCTCCGGCTGGGGCATCTCACACGAATATAGGACTCTAGGATATGCAATGAGGAGTAGATCAGCCCTCAACGCTATGCCGCTCTGGGAGTTTCTTATTGCTCTAAATCTCTATATTCTACTTCGTTTGCTCTTGACCCACCACCCGCACGCAGAGACATGTATGTCATTGTATGTCTATATCGCGATGTACGTACTATGTACATACATATATAGCCACATGTGCCCACGGATATATGCCTGCATAAAACTCACACTATAATTTACCAATAGAAATCCCCCGAAGAGCAGGATGGGAGCAGAGCGCTGCGCGCCTCGAGCCGAGCCGGCAGCCCACGAAGTTGACTTCGAGTCTTGACCTTAGGACGAACACGCGCGGCATCTATCCACGCATGCATGTATGTACCCTGCGTATGCAAAGTTGCTTGAGTGTGTGCATAAGATACACATATGCAGAATGCCTTCCGTTATGCATATGTACGTGTGTATGCGTGTGTATGTATAGACACATATACTTATATATATATATATATATATGTATATTATATATATAATATATATATATATATGTATATATATATACGTATATATATATATATATATATACGTATATATATATATATACATACATACATATATGTCGTCACGCTCTCTGTGGCCCCCCTCCATGGTCCAGGATGCCCCCCGCCCCCCGCCCCGTTGGGTCCCTCTTCTCCTGTGGGTGTTTGTGAGGTTTTGGGGTTTATAGGGTTTAGCTCAAGCTCCTGAGTTTTGGGTTTACGGTTTAGGGCCGGGGTAAGGGTTGCATGGGCGCTGGCCGGCAGCTCAGTCCGTGCTGAAAAGGGCCGGGTTAGAAGGCGTGACGTTGCAAGCCAGCTGCAAAACAGGAATCAGGGAGGGTTTGGTGTAGATGCGTTAAGGTTGACGGTTTACCTTCTGCTTAGGCTTAGAGCCTGCGTTGATCGGGGCTTAGGGTTGAGTATAAGTTTTAAAGTACAGGTTAAGGTCAATACAAACAGGAGCACGCGAACCGTAATAGGGTTTATGGCTTGGGTAGGGCTTGCGCCCTCTCTGTGAACCCTGGCCCCCACCCCAGCTGCAGCTCCTACGGCCCCAACCCTTCTCCACACCCCCCCTGCCCCTGTACCAGATTCCCCCATTGGCGGGGGCGGGTGGGGGCCGGATGGGTGTGTCTGTATATATATATATATATTTGTTTTATACTTTATATATTTTTTTAATTCATCGAAGGTCAAGCTTGATGTTGATTCATCGGAGTACAGTGAAAGTCCATGCGAGCCTCTGGGCACAAGGCTTCGATCGGCGAAGCTCTGCTCAGACCACGTGGCGATCGGTTCTTGGCTCGGCAAAGGCGCGCAGAAGTAGATCCCTCAATTTGGGGCCCTATACTACGAAAGGGTACTTTACAGGAACCCCCCATTGAGGGATCTACTTATTGGATCCTTTGGGGCGTTTGGGTCTTTGGTGTTCTCGATCTCGTCGCAAAGTCAGGAAGCAGCACATGATTGAGGGAACGCTTGCAGGACCACATGCTCCGCAGCTACTGAATACTGAAGCTGAAGCGCAAGAGCCGGTTTCAGACTTCCGCTGGGCATCAGGGAAGATTCCCTCATGAGTAGTTAGACCTTGCCCCGTGCCCTCCGATCCTTGGCTAAGGGTTCGCATGGGGTCGGTTTAAGCAGGGAATCAGGGTCCAGTCGATCAAGCAAAGCCTCGAGTTAGTCCGCAGAGCCCGGACCTTGATCCATCTATAAGCCTAGCACGCTTGCAGGGCTTAGTCACAGGTGGCAACCCATCAGAAATCAGGCCTTTTCCATTCCTTCCATGGAGTCCAGCGTATTCGTCAATGGAAACTTTAAAAGGCACCATGCCGCGGCGTGCAGGCACACATCTTCCTGGGAATGGCTCGAGAAACTCTCCGGTATCTTGAGGGGGTCACATAAAGTTCCTGTAGTTCGTGTCCAGTGATGCGCAAGCAGCCGCAACACTATGGCAGCTCATGAGCATGTTATGTCTTCTGCGGAATGCCAAACTATGGGGGCTGCAGGGCAGAACCAAGTAACGAGAGAACATCTGCTGCCCTAAGTAAAGATGAAGTAACTTCCGACCCGCACACCACGAGATCTCGCATGGCTAGTTCGAGTTGTGAGAGCATAAGTTTGCGACGGACTGCGTTGTGGGACATCAAGCAGGAAAGCAGTAACATCAACCAGCTTGAAATGCATGTGCCAGCTGCAACAGTCAGATGCTGCATGCTGTGGCTGGTCCGCAAATGCCCAAGCGTCTCGAGCGCAATGAATGTCTGACTTGGTTGAAAACGAGTTCGACCGAGAAGGAACGAAAGAGAGTGCAACAACCAGAGTGTGCATACATGGTGATGAACACTGCAGCTGCTCGCATTCATGTTATTGCGTTTTGGAACATATCTGGCAGTCCAAACATGCAATCTTCCAATGGCGGCGTTGCATTTCTCATCCTCACCGCAGCTGCAACATGGCCGTGACTCTTTGAATTTGGAAGCCTGTGCCAAAGTTTTGGGGATCGCCAGCGAGGCACCTCTTCGTCTCCCGAGGGTATCTATCTGCTTGTGCGATATCGCATATTGGAAATAAAGTTATTGTGGAGAACGATATCAAAGTCGCAGGTGTTGCTTGCAACTGTTGCTCTAGCAGTAATAGGCTTTTTTGTGAGCTCTCATCCGACATCATCAAGCCAGCATCGGGGAGACAGAAGAGACAGGCTAGAATTCGCTTCTCCAAAGTGACATATGGACTCGCGTAAACTGCTCGGTGCCCCCAAAGTAAAACCCCTTTGCACACAGCCTCTGCGCTGATCAGCATCGGACTTCGATCATAATTTCCAGGTAGATGCGGAATCTCATTTCCCTGTTATTTTGTCAGGCAAGCACAGGTAGGCGGTTGCTCGGTTACATTTCCAACAAGGCTCCTTAAATGCGGAGGTGCGGCTTTGTATGTCTCTAGGCCTGGGAATAGTTGCGGACATGAAGGCTTTCTTTCCCTTCACCCCGAACGCTTGAGACCTCGCCTGGATTGTCCGAGTTGTGAGAGTGTAAATGCGGAGGGTTCGATTGGTCCCACCCGCCTGTTTGCGCCGAACTGTTGCTGAGATTGTCGATCGGTACTCTATGGCGCCTTGCCTGCCTTTCCTGAGTTGTGACGACAGCCGAAAACGTAGAGGGTCTCACAGTCATCTTCGACTTTGCGCGTGTCCTGCAAGCTTTTTGTACGATGGGATGCCTGACTTCTCAAACCGATTGATGGAGGAGACAACCCCGTCGCAGTCCCGATTTCCAGAACATTGAAGTTAGAATACACGAGTTCTCCAGGACTCTATGTAAAGTGTGTGCATGTGTGTGTGTCACATATATGCACAAGCCTGCACGCATGCACACGCTGGGGCACCATACACGGCGTAAGCAAGGATGTCACACGCCATCACTTGCAGGTACGTCAACCCAGCGTCCCAGGTTTATGTCACCTCGCTGACGGAGTGTCTTCGTTGAGTGGTGACTCCGACGGCACGCACCACTCCCTTGCGAGCTGCTGCAAGATCTCCATAACGAGACACAACGCAACTTTCGTTCTCCCTAGTGCCGATTCGGGAGTTGTCTCTCTCTCTCTCTCTGTCTCTCTCTCTCTCTCTCTCTCTCTCTCTCACACACACACATGCACACATGCGCACATGCACACGCGCGAGCGAACGCGCGCGCGCACGCACACGCGCGCACACGCGCGCACACACGCACGCACGCACGCACCCGCACACGCACACACGCACACACGCACACACGCACACACGCACACACGCACACACGCACACACGCACACACGCACACACGCACACACGCACACACGCACACACGCACACACACGCACATGCACACGCACATGCACACGCACACGCACACGCACACGCACACGCACACGCACACGCACACGCACAACACGCACAACACGCTCAACACGCACAACACGCACAACACGCACAGCACGCACACGCACAACAC